TAGCACTCTCTGGTGGTCTCTTATTTTTGGTTTTATTATTTATTATTACATTTACTTACTGTATGTATCCACATATGTGCATGAATCATGGTGTGCATGTGGAAGTCAGAAGACCACCAGCAGGAGTTGGCTTGCACCTTCCACCATGTGGTGTCTGAGTTATGAGGACTGAACTCAAGGCATCAGGCTTGGCAGCAAGTGTTTTTACCAGCTGAACCAATCACTCAGCCCCTATTTATTTATGTGGGAGCGGGGCGGCATGTATGTGAGGTCAGAGGACAACTTTAGAGAGTCAGTTCTCTCCTTCCACCATGTGGGTCCTGGAGATTGAACTCAGGTCATTGGATTTGGTGGCAAGTGTCTTTACCCACTGAGCCATCTCACTGGTCCTGAACCCTATCTATAACATTTAAAATATTTTACTTATTTTTATGTGTATGACTGTGTTGCCTGCATGTGTGTAGGTGCACCCATATGGTGCAATGCCTGAGGAGGTCAGAGGAGGGCGTTGGATTCCCTGGACCTAGAGTTAGCCATCATATGAGTGCTGAGAATCAAACCTGGGTCCTCTGCCAAGAGCAGTGCTCTTGACTGCTAAGCCATCTCTCCAGCCCCACCCTCCACCCCCATATAACATATTAAAAACTAGGAGATTTGGGCCACAGAGATGGCTAAGTGAATGACACCTGCCACCAAACAACCCGAGTTCAATTCCCAGACCCGAAATGGTGGAGGGAGAACTGACTCCCAAAGGTTGTCTTTTGACTTCCACAGGCCCACTGCTGCAAACACTACCCCCCCCCACAAACAATGAATGAATGAATAAAAAAATATCAGGAGACTTGGGACTGGGGAGATGTTAGTGGGCAAGGTGCTTTCTTTACAAGTGTGATCCTGAGCTCAGATCCCCAGAGCCCATGTAAAAGCCAATCAGTAGTGCTTGGGTAGAATCCCAGCGCTCTTACAGGAAGACTGGAGACTCCCCAGCAGCTCAGGGCCAGCTAGCCTGACATACACAGAGGCAAACAAGAAACCCTGTCTCCAACAAGGCTGTCCCGACTTCCCCACATAGGCTGTATAGCATGTATATATCCGCATCTAAACATATGAACATGCACACACACACAAAGATTAAAAAATAAAAAATCAAGAGACTTGCTAGGAGTAAAGCTCAGTGGTAGACTGCTTGATTAGAGTACACAAGACCAGGGTTCCAATCCCAACATCACAAAAAAAATACAAATAATAATGTAAAAAAATCCAAAGAATCCAAAATAAAAATAAAAACCAGGGAAAAACAAAAACTTTTCTTAATTTAGAGGGGCTGAAGAGATGGCTCAGCAGTTAAGAACATGGCTGCCCTTGCAGAAGACCTGGGTTTAGTTCCCAGCACTCACATAGTGGCTAACAACCATCCTTAACTCCAGTTCCAGGGGAGTTCTGACGCCCTCTTCTGGTCTCCATGAGCATTGCATGCACAGTATATACTTATATCAGGCAAAACACTCATACACAAACAATAAAATTTTTAAAAATTAGATTTTAGCTGGGCGAGGTGGCACATGCCTGTAATCACAGCCCTTGGGAGGCAGAGGCAGGAGGATCTCTGTGAGTTCAAGGCCAGCCTGGTCTACATAGTGAGTTCCAAGCCATCTGGGGCTACAGGGAGACCCTGTCTCAAAAAAAGACAACAAAAATTTAGATTTTAGGGGCTGGAGAGATTGCTTGGTGGTTAAAAGCACTGATTGTTCTTGCAGAGGACCCAGGTTCAGTTACCAGCACCCACATGGCAGCTAACAACCATCCTAAACTCCAGTTCCAGGAGACCCAACGCCCTCTTCTGAATTCTGTGAGTATTGCATGACATGGGTGCGCTTATATACATGCAGGCAATACATTCATACACATAAAAATAAAAAATATAAAATATTTTTAAAAATTAGATTTTATATAAAAACCTTACTAAACATTTGGAATATCACTCAGTGACAGAATACATGTCTAACAGGCTTAAAGCTCTGGGTTTGACCCCCAGAATGGGAGGGGGAGTATAGGTTGGGGAAAATTAGCATTTGTGAAAAGTTTTTTCCCCTTCTTTGTGCCTTCCAAAATTCCATCTTACATACATACGGGCAAAACACTCATGCACATAAACAATCTTTAAAAAGTTATGTCACAATACCCTATAGCAGTTTTCATTTAAAATTAACTTTCTTATGGATTCTTTTTTTTTTTTTTTTTGAGACAGGGTCTCCCTGTAGCCCCAGCTGTCCTGAAACTCACTATGTAGACAAGGCTGGCCTTGAACTCACAGAGATCCACCTGCCTCTGCCTCGCAAGTGCTGGGCGTTTTTTCTTAATGTTGAGGTAGAGGGTTTCAGTTGTGATGGCAGGTTAGAGGGAACTGAAGGGAAATCATGAGCCAGTATTTGCACAACTCTGGAAGCTCTGGAGTAAGGTTTGTAGCCTGTACCATGGACTTCTTCCACAATCAGTGACACTTGTATCTGTTTCTTTCTTTTTTTTTAACACTCAAGCAATAATAGAAATAGGACAGAGGTGAATTAAATGGACTTTGATGGCTGGCTTCACAGAAAATCATAATGAATTAAGGTTCTGAATTGGGTATAATGGCACGGTATCTTAGGACTTGGGGGACTTGGGGGACTGGAGGTAGGAAGATTAGGAACTCAATGTCAACGTCAGCTCTACAGTGAGTTCAACCTGTGATCCTGTCTCACACACACATAAAAACAAATTTTTTAATTAAAAAATATTTATTGATTTTGGGCTGGAGAGATGGCTCAGCAGTTAAGAGCACTGGCTACTCTTTCAGAGGACCTGGGTTGTTCCCAGCATCCACATGGCAGCTAACAACTATCTCTAACTCGTTTCAGGGGATCTGACACCCTCTTCTGGCATTGCATAACACAGGTGTACTTATACGCATGCAGGCAAAATACACATAAAATGAATTTTAAAAAGTTATTTGCTGGGCTGGAGAGATGGCTCAGCAGTTAAGAGTACTGACTGATCTTGCAGAGGACCCAGGTTCAATTCCCAGCACCCACGTGGCGGCTATGAACCGTCCTTAACTCCAGTTCCAGGGGAATCCAAAGCCCTCTTCTGACCTCCGCAGCATTGCAGGGCACGGGTGCACTCACATACATGCAAGCAATACACTCATACACATTAAAAAATATAGGCCGGGCATGGTGGTGCACGCCTTTAATCCCAGCACTTGGGAGGCAGAGGCAGGAGGATCTCTGTGAGTTCAAGGCCAGCCTGGTCCACATAGCAAGTTCCAGGTCTGCTGGGGCTACAGGGAGACCCTGTCTCAAACAAACAAACAAACAAACAACTTTTACTTTATGTGTATGTGTATTTTGCCTGCATGTAGGTGTGCCCATGTATATAATGTCTGTGTAGCAAAAGGAGGGTGTCAGATCCTCTGGAACTGGAGTTACTGACTGTTGTTAGCTGCCAAGTGGGTGCTGAGAATTGTACCTGGATCCTCTGCAAGAGCAGCCCATGCTCTTAACCAATCAGCCATCTCTCCAACTCCAGTAATTTAAAAAAAAAAAAAAAGAAAAAAGCCTGATTCTCCTCTAAACTGTGGTGCCCTTCATGGGATAGGAAGAAGAGGTAAGCTCAGTTTGGGCCTCCAGAAATACCAAGTGGAAATTTTGGGTGGAAATACCAAGTAGAAAAAGAGGGGTGAGGGTAAAGCTTGAGATAGATCTGGGGTATGAGGATCACAGTTTTTGTTCTTTGTTTTTCTTAATTTTTTTTATTTTATTTTATGTGTCTGAGTGTATTGCCTGCACATATGTAAGTGCACCCATGTTGTGCAATGCCTGCAGAGGTCTGAAGAGGGCATCAGATTCCCTGGAATGGAGTTACAAACAGTTGTTAGCCACCATGTCTGAACCATCTCTCCCAGCCCTGTTTTTTATTTTTGAGGCAAGGTCTCATGTATCCCAGACTAGCTTGGAACTTAGTAGCTAAGGATGATTGTGAACTTCTGATCCTCCTGCCTCTACCTTCCAGGTATTGGGAGTACAGGAGTATGTCACCACACCTGGTTTATAGGGTGCTGGGGATCAAACCCAGGGGTTCATGCATGCTAGGCAAGCACTCTACCAGTTGAGTGTAGTTTTTTTCCTTTTCTTTCTGCTTTTTTTCTCTTTCTTTTGAGACAGGGTCTCACTGTAGCCCTGGATGGCCTAGAGCTCCCTATGTAGAGACTAGGCAGGCCTGGAACTCAAGAGATCTACCTGCCTCTGCTTTTTTTCCCTTTTTCAGACAGGGTCTCCCTGTATCCACAGATGGCCTGGAATTCTCTATGTAGACCAGGCTGGCCTCCTGAGTGCTGGGCTTCAAGCACTTTGCCTGCATGAATGGCATGTACCACACTTGTGCCTAGTGCCCTCCCAGGCCAGAAGAGGGCATCAGATCCCCTAGAACTGGAGTTAACAGATGGTTGTTAGCCATCAAGTGCATGCTGGGAACTGAACCCAGGTCCTCCGTAAAAGTAGCAAGTACTTAACTGCTGAGCCATCTCTCCAGTCCCTTTTTTTTTTTTCTTTTTCTTTGAGACAGAATCTTACTGTGTAGCCCAGACTAGCCTTGAAATCAAAATCTCCCTGCCTCCACTTCTTGAGTGCTTGGAATTACAGGTACCTCCCTAGTTTTAAAAAGACTCAGAGCCTGCATGCCATTAATCCTTTTTCTTTTCCTACATCACACTTAGATGCTCACCACCTGGGTGTGAGGACCAAGAAGAGAACAGCAGCTGGCAGCTCTCCCTGAGTCACACGGTACCCCATGTGAAGCACATGCTTAAGCATCTGTGAACTGGAGGGAAGGACCAGTGTCTGCCCAGCAGTCTTATCTAAGCCCCACTAGATGCCATAAAGGCACAGGGCTCCTTCTGATCAACAAAGAGAAGGAACAAAGAACATCATTCGTGAGCAAAGGCAGAGAAGGAGTCTCAGAACCAAGTTGTAAAAAAGGCTTCTTTATTGAGAGCAGCGAGTGTAAAAAACAAAAACAAAAAAAGGAACAAAAACAAAAAAAAAAACATAAAATAAACAACTTCAACAACAAGAAGTGGGAGGCAGGGGTGCCCCCCCCTCCCCAGTTCCAACTCCTCTAGGGTCCACCTGAACCTCCCATGCCCACCCACCCCACGCTTCAATAACATACAAAAGCCGCCCAGGGTGAATACAAAAAGGGCGGGTTATATAGTGTTAAAAGCTCTTGAACACTCCTTATCTGCCAGGCACTTAGGATGAGGAAAGGAGAGAACGGTTGCGGGGGAGGCATGGGTCTGGGTTAGTGTGCACAAGCCCATACTGGGGAGGACTCAAATGACTATGTCCTCCACAATCCTGGTCTAAGAACCCCCTCACACCACCTAGGTGGGACCCATAGGCCAAGAGACCAGTTGGCCCTGTGTGCCCAGAGATAGCCTAGAACTTGAGGCTATTAAGGAAATCTTTCAAACCCAGCTCATCCCCAGCCTAGGCCCACCCCCCCTCCCCAAGTAAGGTTGGTCGATGAGTGTCAGAGCTGGACCTGGCCAAAGGAGAAGGTCTCAGGCCAGAAATTGGGGTTACCTGAGGCACCCATACTATCCCTGATGAGGGAAGGGGTGGCAGAGAAAATTGCCCAGCCTGAGGCCTTAGTCACCTAGTATGGATCTAAATCAGCCTTCCCCAGGGCTGAAGGGGAGGAAGAGAAACATGTAGGCACTGCCCAGACCTTAGCAATGCCTGCTGTGCTTGGGCAGAACCTAGGGCCAAGGAGGACAGGGATCTACCCATCATGCTGCAGGCTCCTCTCAAGAGGGTGTTCTCCCCTGCCCACACCAGCCTGAAGCACAGCCTGCAAGTTTCCCTCACTGCTTGCTGTCTGCAGGGCTGTCTCCCAGGGTGCTGGCAATCTCGCTGAAGGAGGGCCGGTCCTTGGGGCTCAGGGCCCAGCAGCGCTGCATTAGCCGGTAAAACTTGGAAGGGCAGCCTTCAGGCTGTGGGAGTCGGGCCTTCCCCGCCTGCAAATCTACAGGGAAGACAGTGGGTAGACGGTTAGCCCAAACATTTACTGACCTATCAATACCTGGTACAGCTGGTAGTTCCCTCTGGGTAATGCAGGCCAATGATGAGTGGCACTGAATTAAGTTATATGTAGCAAGTATCTTTTGAGATAAAGGGATAACTCTCCTGCCCAAGTTCACTCTGGCTGGCAGGCAGGGTCCCTGTGGGAGTTGAAGTACTTAACACAAGGCTGGAGCAGGCACTGGGGACAGCTACTTGCTATTCAGGATAAAAGTGCTTTGGGGGGCTGAAGAGATGGCTTGTGGTTAAGAGCACTGGCTGTTCTTGAAGAGGACCTGGGTTTGATTTCTAGCACCCACATGGCGGCTAACAACTGCCCTTAACTCGTTACAGGGAATTTGATACCCCCTCACCAACTTCTGACCTCCACAGGCACTGCACCACATGGGTGCACATAGGCAAAACACTTATACACATAAAATAATAAAAATAATAAAACACTTTAAAAGTACTTTACAAGGGCTTTATCACTTAGCTACAACCCAAGCTCAAATTTCAGTATTTTTTTAAAAAATTGTATTAAGCCAGGCATGGCGGCGCACACCTTTAATCCCAGCACTCAGGAGGTAGAGATCTACATAGTGAGTTCCAGGACAGCTGGGGCTACAGAGAGACCCTGTCTCATATGCATCTTTCCCCCGTAGTGTGTGTGTGTGTGTGTGTGTGTGTGTGTGTGTGTTTGTGTAATACAGTGTACAATCTGTGGGAGTTGGTTTTGTCATTCTAGCATGTGGGTCTTGGGGATTGAACTCAGGCTTGGCTGCAAGCACCTCTACGTAGCCACTGAACCATCTCACTGGCCCACATTTCAGTATTTTTAACAACTGGAGTGGTCACAGCTACATAGCTGTTAAGTCCCAGTCCTAAGAGGTAGGCTGAGTATTCCCTATGGCCCTAAGCAAAGAGAGATGGGGTGGGGGTAGGGGAATAAGAGGGGGATGTATTTGGATTCAACCTTCAGGAACACAGCTGCTTACCTGCCAACACATCATCATCTGCCTGTCCACCATGGGGCATCTCTCCATGAGTGAATACTTCCCACATCAGCACACCAAAGGCCCAGACATCAGATTTGGTAGAGAAGTCACCCTCCAGGATAGCCTCTGGGGACATCCAACGCAAAGGCACCCAGGCCTGGCGAAAGTGGTAGTATTCACTGTGGGGAAAGCAACAAAAGGGGAGAGATTGGAGAACCAGAGCCAGGTTTTTCTATGAAAGCATCCCAAGAGGTTGATAATACATATGCTGAGTGGGAGTATGCTGTTTCAACTCTAGATGTGGATCCCTCTGTGTGAGGATTGATGGTTTAAAATTCCATTAAGGGACTAAGAGAGATGGCTCAAAGGTTCAGAAGACCTAGGTTCAGTTCCCAGCACCTAATGCCTGTAACTCCAGTTCCAGAGGGATCCAATGCCTCTTCTGGCCTCTGCAGATACCACATGCATGTGTTGCACTTACATAATGCAGGCAAAGCATTCATACACAGTCCAGGTGTAGTGGTACACGTCTTTAATCCCTGGGTTAGGTTCCCAGCATCCACACAACAGCTAACAATGGTTCGTAACTCCAGTTCCAGGGGATCTGATGCCCTCTTCTGGTCTCCATGGGAACTGCATGCATGTGGTGCACTTATATACATGCAGGCAAAATACTCACACACATAAAATAAAAATAAATAAAAATTAACAAGAAAAATTTTTAGAAAGGTTTCTCTGTCTCTTCCTAGTGCTGGGGATTGAATCCAGGGTCTTTTTTTAAAAAAAATTATTTATTTTTATTTTATGTGTATGTTTGAGTACCTGCATGTGTGTATGTGTACCACATGCATGTGGAGTCCAGAAGAGGGTTCTGAATCCCCTGGAAGAGTAGGAAATGCTCTTGACCTCTCAGCCAAGCCATCTCTCCAGCCTCAAATCCAGGGTCTTATTATCTATCCTACCACTGACCTAAACTCCCAGCCCCAGGTTTATCATTTTTTTTATTGCTACAGAAAATTTATAGCCACCAGGGACTTGGCGCCCACTCCTGGGAAGCCTGCTCTACACCTTTAGAAAGAGGATGGCAAGGCTCTGTCCCCTGAAGCCTCCCCCACCTCAGCTCTGGACTTACGCAGGCCTTTTCCTACCCTTTCACAAACTGCACTGTCTTCTGTCCCTCACCCTCCAGGAAGGCAGTGGGTGGGTGGGGGTGGGGGACAGGGGGTGGCAGGAGGTGACATCCCACCCAGGCCCTTCTTTCTACCTGTTATACACATCCTTGCTGAGGCCCAGTGCCGACACCTTCACCTGCCTCTGAGCACTGACCAGGCAGTTGCGGGCAGCCAAGTCCTTGTGCACAAAACGGTTGTTGGATAAGTGCTCCATGCCCAGGGCCACCTGGGTACACAGGGCCACCTGGTGAGAAAAAGAAGCCTGTCGAAACAGTCCAGGACTTGGGGTTAAGGTGACCATCCTTGACACAATATTGCAGTGTCTCTGGAGTACTACACAGGAAACCCCAAACACAACAGCTTTAGCTGTCTCCATCAGAAAATGGGATACAGTACCTGTCTCACTAGTTTGTTGAAAGGCTTAATTGAGATCAAGGGGCAGAGGAGATGACTCAGTGGGCAAAGTACTGGTTGTACATGCATGGGGACCTGAGTTTGGATCTCCAGAACCTACCAAAAGGACTCAATGGCCAGTCAGGCTAGGCCATCAGTGAGTTCTGGGTTCAGTGAGAGACTCCGTCTCAAGAAGTTAAGATAGTGACTGAGGAAGACACGGGATGTTAACCTCTGGTTTCCATATGCATCTTGCATGTACACCTTTCCCCATACATGCACAGAAACAAACACATAGACCTCACATAAAATGAGATTAAGTGCTTGGTACCATTCTGCTGAACAAGGGCTGCATTGTGTGAGTGACTCACAGGGTTGGGGGGCACACAGTGTAATTGCCTGCTGAGTAAAAAACAACTAGATAGCAATACTACCTCACAGGAATTTAAGAGCAGCCTGGGCAACACAGCAAGACCTCATTCCAATATTAAATAAACACGCCAAACAAAAGAAAGCTGAGCTTGACAGTGAATGCTTATAATCCCCCTACCCAAGAGACTAAGGCAGGAAGCCTATCATGAGCTTGAGGCAACTTGTGAAACACAGTTCCAACCAAGTCCGGGCCATACAGTAAAAGCTAATATGAAAACAAACAAACAAGCAGGGCGTGTGTGTGTGTGTGTGTGTGTGTGTGTGTGTGTGTGAGATCTAGTCAAGGTACTTGGCACTTAGCCTGATCACCCTCAGGACCCACAAGTTGTCCTCTGACCTCAGGAGAGAATCAATCCATACAGGTTGTTCCCTGACTTCCATATTCAAGTACTGACATGTGCAAGTGTGCACCCAATAAATAAATAAATGAATAACTAAACGTAATTTAAAAATTAGGGACTTGCCAGGCGTGGTGGCACATGCCTTCAGTCCCAGCACTCAGGAGGCAGAGGCAAGTGGATCTTTCTGAGTTCAAGGCCAGCCTGGCCCACATAATGAGTTCCAGGACAGCTGGGGCTACAGGGAGACCCTGTCTCAAAAAGACAAAACAAAACAAAACAAACAAACAAACAAAAAGAATGCCATCAATCCAGAAACCTAAGGAGCTAGTTCCCAATGACAGATTCTCCCTTATTCAAGACTTAACCACTGCCCCGATTTACATAATACAATTTCTTTCTTGTCTTCTGTAGGTTCAGCACTCTATACACATACATTCTTTTTTCCTTTTCCCTCCCTCCCTTCCTCCCTTCCTTCCTTCCTTCCTCCCTCCCTCCCCCCCCTCTCTTTCTTTCTCCTTTTCTCTACTTTTTTTATTTTTTGAGACAGGGTCTCACTTGTAGCCTGTAGCCCTGGCTGGCCCAGAACTCGCTATATAGACTAAGCTGGCCTAGAACTCATAGAGATCAACCTGTCTACGTCTCCTGGGTGCTACCCTGCCTAGAAAAATTCATTTTTCAAAAACCTATCCATATCTGTAATTCCAACATTTGGAAGGCCTAAGCAGGAGGCTCACAAATTCAAGGCCAGGTTTAACTACATAGTGAGACCCTGGCTCAAAACAACATCAAATTATTCTACTTGGTTTGTTTTTCATCATGAGTATACATCACAATTAATCAATGGATATGTAGTAGTTTCTAGCTTGGGGCTATTAAGCAGTGTTGTTTTGAGCACTCATTTTTTACTTTTAATTTTATTTTTATTTTATGTGTTTGTGTATGTCTGTGTATGTCCCATGTATGCAGTGCCCAGAAGTCAGAAGAGGGCATCAGATCCCTAAACTAGAGTTACAGACAGTTGTAATCTGCCTGACATGGGTGCTGGGATTCAAACATGGGTCCTCTGAAGAGCAGCAAGTGTTCTTAACTGTTGAGCCATCTCACTAGTTCCTGCTATGAGCACTCTTACAGATGTGCACACATATGGGAAGGTCATAAAACACGACCATATCCAACTCGACAAAATCCTGCTATTTCCCAAAGCATAAGAGTACCAAAGAAGTTTTAAAAAATTTTTTTTAGATATTTATCTTTATTTTATGTGTATGAGTGGATTGCCTGCATGTGTTTAAGTGCACCACATGCATGCAATGCTTGCAGAGGCTAGAAAAGGGTTTTGGATTCCCTGGAACTGGAGTTAGGACAGTTGTTAGCCACCATGTGAGTATGGCTCACAACCATCTGTAACTCCAGTTCCTTGAAATCTGATGTCCTCTTCTGGCTTCCGGAGGTACACAACACATGGGTACACTTACATACATGTGGACAAAACATTTACACACATAAAAACACAAAAATAGGGGCTCAGCCATTAAGAGCACTGACTGCTCTTGCAGAGGACCTGGGTTCAATTCCCAGCACCCACACGGCAGTTAACAACTGTCTAAAATTCCAGTTCCAGGGGATCCTACGCCCTCTTCTGACCTCCACGAACACTGCACAACATGGGTGGACTTACATACATGTAGGCAATACACTCACACACATAAAAAATAATAAAAAATTTTTAAAAATATATAAATATTTTTTAAAAGTTTGGATCATGTGAATGTATTGTACATATTACATAATAAATTAAATGAAACTAATATATTAACGTTTATGTGTGTATGCTGTGTATGCAGGTGCCCATGGAAGCCAGAAAAATGGTGGTAGATCTGGAGCAGAAATTATAGGTGGTTGTGAGTCACCAAACATGAGTGATGGGCCCTGAACTCAGGTCTTCTGTAAGAGTGGCAACAAGTGCTCCTAACCAGTGAGGGATCTCTCTTTCCAGCTCTATATTAACTTTTTTTTCTTTTTATTAGACAGTGTCTCTTGCTGGCTATCCTGAAATTCAGTATGTAGACCAGGCTGGCTTTAAACTCACAGAGATCCACCTGCCTCTGTCTCCTGAATGTTGGGATTAAAGGCATGCATCACTGTACCAGGTTTAACATCTTAAAAGTATATGTTTTGAAGTTGGAGAGGTGGCTCAGCAGTTAAGAATGTATACTCTTCTTGCAGAGGATACAAGTTAGGTTCCCAGCACCCACATCAGGCAGCTCACAACTGCCTGTAACTCCAACATTGGGGATCTGACACCTCTGGGCCTCTGAGGGCACCTGCAGAGTACAAGCATATACCCACCTGCAGACATACGCACATAACATAATTTAAAAAATAAAATAGGGGGCTGGAGAGATGACTCAGTGGTTAAGAACACTGACTACTCTTAGCAAAGGACCCAGGTTTGATTCCCAGCACCCACATGGTGGCTAATAACCAGCCATAACTCTAGTTTTAGAGGATCCAATGCCATCTTCTGACTTCTGTGGGCACTGCACAACATTGGTGAACTTACACACACACACATATATATGAGGCAATACATTCATATACATAAAATAAAAATAAATAAAAATAAAATATTAATTGTTTTCACTACGTAGAGTGTTATGCTTGCATATGTGTAAGTGGACCCATGTCATGCAGTGCTCGTGGAAGACAGAAGAGGGTGTCTTATCCCCTGGAACTGGAGTTACAGAGAGTTGCTAGGCACCATGTGGGTGCTGGGATTTGAACCTGGGTCCTCTACAAGAGCAGTCAGTGCTCTTAACTGCTGAGCCATCTCTCCAGCCCATAAGCTAAGAATTGTTCTTATAGAAGGGAGTCAACAGCACAGAGAGGTGGTCTATGCCAGACAGTAAAGTCAGAGCACCATGAGAGTGCTTATAAAGACAGGTGATCCTGGGCTGGCGAGATGACTCAGGCATGTATGTGCCCACATTTCACACACACATCACACAATCACATGTACAATAAAAAATAAGAAATATTAAAAAAAAAAAAAAAAAAAACACAAGGCAACGCTGGTGTGGTGCCATATGCCTTTAATCCCAGCACTTGGGGTTACAGAGAGAGAGCCTGCCTCAAAAAAAAAAAACACTAATAATAAAAATAAAAAGCAAAGTCCTAAATAAGTTACACACTTCCACTGGCACAGAGATTCTCAGGACCCCTAAGGGAAAAGTCATTAACCACAGAGTATAAGCATAGAGAAATAAAATATGATGGTGGGGGGCTGGAGAGATGGCTCAGTGGTTAAGAGCACTGACTGCTCTTGCAGAGGACCCGGGTTCGATTCCCAGCACCCACATGGAGGCTACAAACTGTCCTTAACTCCAGTTCCAGGGGAATCCGACACCCTCTTCTGACCTCTGCAGCATTGCACAGTGCATTCACATACATGCAGGCAATACACTCATACACATAAAATGGAAAAAAAAAAAATACAATGGTGGGCTGGTGAGATGACTCATCAGGTAGAGGTACGCTGTGCAAGCCTGACAACCTGAAATTGAGACCCAGAAATCACATAAAGGTAGAGAAAATCAACTCCACAAAGTTGTCCTCTAACCTCCATAGGTACACTATGGTATGTGTACATACAGATACACACACACATCATGTACATACAAACAAATACTAAGAACAGTTTTTTCCTTGTCTTTTTTGAGACAAGGTCTTATTCTATAGCTCAAAGTGGCCTGAAACTCACTATGCATTCCACACTGTCCTCAAAGTCTTGGCAATGCTCCTGCCTCAGACTACAGTCTTAGGCTTATAAACATGAGCCACCACATCTGGCTAAATCTGCACTTAAAAAAAATTATTTTAGCCGAGCCTGGTGGCGCATGCCTTTAATCCCAGCACTTGGGAGGCAGAGGCAGGCAGATCTTTGTGAGTTTGAGGCCAGCCTGGTCTACATAGTGAGTTCCAGGACAGCTGGGGCTACAAGGAGACCCTGTCTCAAAAAGACAAAACAAAACAAAACAAAAAAATATTTTAGGGGTTGGGGATTTAGCTCAGTGGTAGAGCACTTGCCTAGCAAGTGCAAGGCCCTGAGTTCGGTCCTCAGCTCTGGGGAAAAAAAAAAATTATTTTATTTATTATTTTTATTTTATGTATACAAGTGTACTGCTTGCATATACGTGAGTGCACCCATGTCATGCAATACCCACAGAGGTCAAAGGAGGGCGTCAGATCCCCTGGAACTGGAGTTACGATGGTTAGCTGCCATGTGGCTGCTAGGATTTGAACCTGGGTCCTCTGTAAGAGCAGTCAGTGCTCCTAACCACTGAGCCTTCTCTCTAGCCCCTAAATCTGCATTTTAAAAAGCAGTTCTCAGGACTGGAGCAATGGCTCAGCGATTAAGAGTACTTGACACACTTGCAAAGGACCCAGGTTCCATTCATATTGCCTACAACAGGCAGGAAGCCTGTAACTCCAGCTCTAGGGGATCTGATACCCTCTTCTGGCTTCCATGGGCACTGCACTCATGTGCATATACCCATACACAGACATACATACAAACATATATAACTAAAAATAAAATCAAAGCTTTTTTAAAAAATTTAGTTCTAGCCAATCTGCCTATTGTCCTTGGAGAATATAGAACTCAATTTATGAATGTGTCCTCATTAAACTCAAGACAGGATGGGAAAAACACACAGGAGAAGTGTTTAGCAAAGGTGGTAATGACAGTCTATCAAAAGTGACAAGACAGAGATGACCAATATCCTTCTAGTCTGTCTTGATTTTTTGTTTGTTTTTTGAAACAGGATCTCACTACATATCAGAGGCTGGCATCAAACTCACTATATAGCCCAAACTGGATTTGGACTCCAGATCCTCCTGCCCCAGCCTCCCAAGTACTGGATTATAGACATGTATCACCACACTCGGTTGTCAGACTGTCTCCGTCCCTGTCCTAGTCACAGAACTTACCTTGATCCTCTCTCCCGAAGCCATCCACTTCCTGCCATTCAACTACTTCCTGTCCTTGAGAATTGAACTCAAATAGCTTTCTCCACCAGGGAAACCTTTGTTAACTACAGCTGTCTGTCCACCTAAAGGACACAGATTTCTCTCACATCCTTTATTGATGCCTCCCACTCGCTTCCTGTGCCGTACCTCCTGTCCTTAAATCTGTAATGTCATATTCTCCACACAAGGCCACACCCAGCCCAACAGCCTTTGGATCTGATTGCTTGCTGCTTCTCTAGCTCAGAGCAGCAGGCACACAGGTGTCAGCTCTACGGGTAGCTACCACCCCAAGACCAGAGCAGCTGCCTTCTATGTGAACCCTACAAACTCCCTGCAGGCTAGAGAAGCAGAACAAGTCACGTAACTTCTCTCAGTCTCCATTTCTTTGTCCAAAAAATGGGGACAATAACACACACATTTCAGGGGACTGTTCAATAATGAACACATGTGAAGTCTTCACTATGAGGCTTGGCTCTTTTGGAACACTGAACAAATGACACCTCTATTACTATCACTGTCCTTGTTCCTCGCCTACCTTGGGGACGTTCTCCCACTCCTCCACCCTGTCCTTACCTTCTGCTTGGTGCTGAGGGGCTGTGACTTCAATTTTTCATCCTTGCTCTTGGAAATCCTCAGGAACTGTTTGAGGTCTCCCTGAGGGAAGAATCAAGCATCCCTGTCAGGGCAGAGCCCAGGTATGGGCTCTAAAGCATCAGGCCAAGCTAGTGCTTGTAGAGTCCCCACTGGAAGACCATGACAACCATGACCTGAATGCCCACCCAGCCCTCACTGGGGTGAGCAAAGTTTACTGATGCGAGAATTAAAGACCATATGGGAGATGCTTCTAGAAGCTCTCTCCGCTGTCCCTCCTACTCTGATTGAATGTTCACCCTTGGACTTGGAAGGAAAACACAACCTCTCCCCTGCCCTCATGGATGCCAGGCACACAGAATGTCAGTGGCAGAAACACACAAAGTGTTCAATGTACTTGCTAACAGACCTCTTACTGATGCCTTAAGAGACGAGACCTTAAGAGATGCACAGACTGAGATGCGTCCCCAACTGCTTGCTCCATAGGAGCAGTGTGAGGACCAGGGAAGACCAGAGCCTAGCACAGACAGGGAATGACGAGAAAGGGGCAGCATGGGGAATGAAAATCTGGGAGATAGAAGGCTGATGGTGGGGCTGACAATTGAGGCAAGAGAGGAACTGTGGAGCAGAGGAAAAAAGGCCAGGGGTTGTGTGTGTATGGGGGGTGAGGGGAAAGGAAGGAGGGAAGGAGGGAGGGAGGGAGAGAGGGAAGGAGGGAGGGGTGAGGAAGAACGGTCAGCCAGATTCAGACAAGCTTGTTCTCAAGTGATGGCAAGCCCTGGGAGGAAGGAAAAAAAAAGGACAAACCAAAAGAAAACCAGTTGGGAAAGAGGATCTGGAAGGATCCATGCAGAGTACAGAGTGAGAAACCCCAGAACTTAGGGCTGATCTCCACAGCATACCAGGTCCACATACTCCAGCACCATGTAGTGGGGCTCAGCCTCTCGGCACAGCCCCACAAGCCGCACGACATTGGCATGGTTCAGCTTCCCAAACATCTCGAACTCCCTCCGGAAGTCCAGCTGCTGTTGCTCATCCTTGCTCTGCAGGCTCTTCACAAGCACCAGGGTCTCTGCCACGCCTTCCTCCAAGCCCTGAGCCTTGGCCAGAAACACCTCCCCAAACTCACTTTTCCCTGTGGGCATAGGCCTATGTCAGTCAGTTGCCTTCACCCCAGCAGAGGAAGTGACTGACACCAGAGAAGCATCTACAGCCTCTCTTAGAGCAGAGGCTTTGCTGTACCCCACCCACTGGGGAGGTACTACTCAGGTCCTGCTCCCCCACCCCCACCCCCGCTTTCCTAGGTTTCACTGACTCCCAAGAGTAAAATTAAGTGGTTGAAGTAATACCACTTCCCAAAGGATGGTTTGCACAAGAATTTTTATTTTATTTATTTTTTTTTAATCTTTTTTGAGACAGGGTCTCCCTGTAGCTCCAGCTGTCCTGGAACTCACTATGTAGACCAGACTGGACTTGAACTCACAGAGATCCACCTGCCTCTGCCTCCCAAGTGCTGGGATTAAAGGCATGTGCCACCACGCCCGGCCCAAGAATTTTTAATTTTTATTTATTTTAAAATTTTACTTATTTTTATTATAGGAGTTTAAGTGTTTTGCCTGCATGTTTGTAAGTACATGTTTGTAGGTACATGCCTGAGGAAGCAAGAAGAGGGCACCGGAGCCCCTGGGACTGGAATTAAGGACATCTGTTAGCTGCCATGTGGGTGCTGGAAACCAAACTTTTTTCCTCTGTAAGAACAGTAAGTGCATTTAACCACTGAGCCATCTCTCCAGCCTCATGCACAAGAATTTTTGCTGATCTATGACAAATAAGACTTACTGGTTATGTTTGATGTACTTTAGGAAAAATTTAGTACAAACCCATAAATTCGTACATTTTCCCCCTAAAACAAAGTTGATTTTAGTTCCTTTTTAAAAAAGGAGCCAAGCCTGGTGTGGTGGTGCAAGCTTTTAACCTCAGCATTTGGGAGGCAGAGGCAGAAGGATTTCTATGAGATCAAGGCCAGCTTGGTCTACATAGTGAGTTCCAGGCCTGCTGAGGCTACAGGGAGACCCTGACTCAAAGACAAAAAATAAAAATAAAAACTTTTTTTAAAAAGGAGCCAGTTTTGCTGGGCATGGTGGCACACGCCTGTAGACCCAGCACTTGGGAGGCAGAGGCAGGTGGATCTCTGTGAGTTCAAGGCCAGCCTGGTCTACGGTCTACATAGTGAGTAAGGTGGGGCAGGGGAACCCCTGCTTAAAAAAAAAAAAAAAAAAAAAAAAAAAAGGAGCCAGTTTTAGGAAACATCAGGAAAAGAATACATAGATGGGATGCCTAAATGACATAATATATGCGGGGGCATGACTAATGCACAGGGAATATCCTAAAGGAGACCTCTACCTGTGCTCCTGCTGTCTCTAATATGTTAGGTTTTGGGGACATCAGAATTACCTCCAGCCCATTATTCAGCCTCAAGACCAGTGACCTGTAGTGAAGGTGGGTCAGCTGTAGCCAAGGAAACATACCCAGTGTGGTTATGGGCTGCAGGCTGGACCGTGGGAAGTGCATTTTATCACTCGTGCTGTGGCGCTTGTTGGTGGCTGCAGAGCCGGAGCCCAGGCTAGTCAAGGCCACTTCCTCCTGGATCTCTGCTGATGGCTGTCCATTCTGCAAAGGCCCACCTGGCAACAAGGGACAAGGAAACAGCACAGTAAGACCTGACACCCTGGCCACTACAGAGAGTTCAGTTCTCTCTTCCCCAGGTTCTCATGCTGCCTAACAACTTGGGTTCAATCAGTGTTCCACATGAAATGGGCAAGTCCACAGATAAACTAATGCAGCTAGGGGGCATGGTTCGAGTCAGACATTCCTTACAGTGTGGCTAATTATTTGTTTGTATATTTATTATGTGTATGAGTGTTTTGAATGCATGTAAGTGCACCAGTGTGCAATGCCTAGGGAAGCCAGAAGAAAGTGTCAGATGCCTTGGAATTAGAGATGTTAGCCACCATGTAGGGGCTGGGAACCAAACCCAGATCCTCTGCAAGAGCAGCCAGTGCTCTTAACCACCAAGCCATCTCTCCAGTCCCCATGGCTACTTACCAACACAGCTCTGAAATGAGCATTGCCAGTGAGAGTCTAATCTCAATCACTAGCCCTGAATGCCATATCCATACAAGTTGTTTGGTTTTCACTAGACCTCCTACATGCAAAGGCCTCAACAAACACCAAGTAGAAATCACAAGATAGAGCCAAGCTCCTGAATGTCTAAGCTGCTCAGATACCCCGCAATGCTCCCAGGAAGCTTCCAGTCATGAGAGGGAATAGGAGAGAAAAAAAATGAATAGATAATCTCTGGGGGAGCTCTCAGATCCTGAGGGAGAAAAGATGTGCAATGGAAACGTGTACACGCATCCCAACTGTGTCTATGATTTAGTGCTGGGAGAAAAGGCTGGTCTGAGAGGCTCCACTGAGGAAGTCCTGAGCCAGGCTGTTCAGAAGCCAAGGCCCTGAGACTGGACCAACTCTAGGCTTGTAGCAAGAGGTGGGGCATCCCCAGCCCTAATTGCCTCTTCCCTGCAGTGCCTGGCTCTCTCCCTTCACAGCTGCCCACACTAGGGTGCTCTGGACCCACCCTGGCCCATCCCCCTAGAGGGGGCCCTCACCATTGAGGCACTCCATCTCTGGCTCCTCGCCCTCAGGTTGCTTCTGCAGTCTCTTGGCTTTACAGCGCTTCTTGCAGTAGAACATGAGGCCCAGCACAGCAATGATGTAGGCTACAGCAGCGCCCACTGACAGTCCAATGGTCTGGATCATCTTGTATGGTGGAGGGCTGCCTGGGCCCTCTGAGTCCTCCAGCAAGGGTTTGTCTGAGAGACACCATGAAGAAATAAGGACAGGGTGTCTTCACTAAACCTTCCCACCCCACATAAATGACAATCTCCAAGTGCTCCATGGCCTCACCAAGCCAGAAACTTGAGGAGCATTATCCGCTTCACTGACTTACAAGGGTAGGTAGGCCTTAATACCCCACTGAGGTAGAAAGGCTTTGAAGTGACAGTGACTCTAAATCTGGCTGTATCAGTACCCAAGGTACGGGATACGTGTAAAAACACATGTCAGAACACCACCACAAACTACACTGTTAACAAGCTTCCTAAGTGCTTTTTTTATATTGGAGATTGAACCTATAGGCCTTGTACCTGCTAGGCAAGTACTTTACCACTGAACTACTGCCCCCTAAGTGTCTTGACATTATGAACTAAGTCTGGAGAGGTTTAGCACTTGGAGAGCATGTTCCTTGATATGTTAATTTACAGGCTTTCAATAGCCCAAGAGAGAGGTCATAGGACCAGGGAAATTGAGATCAAGGGGCTAAAGATAAGAATATACAGGACCCCCACCCTCCCACCCCCAACAGCTTCAACCAAGAGATGCTGCCATTTCATCTTCTATAAAATACATTGTTAGGAAAACAATTCTGCTGAATCAAAACAGTACATGAACTTCCCATTTAAATCCTCTCCATCTGCAGGCTGAGATAACTTCCCTAAGGGGACAGAGCCCATCAAGAGGAGAGGTCTGGCCCAGGGCTTTTAACCTGACACATTGTCATCTCTGGTTTTCTGGCACGATCCCTCTGATCTCTCTCACTCTGTAGCCTAGGCCATCTTGGAATTTACTATGTAGCCCAGACTGGTCTTGAACTTATGACAATTCTCCTGCCTCAGTCTTCACAATCTAAGATTATAAGAATTGCCATGCTTGGCTTATAAGTTTGGTTGTTTTTAAAATATCTATCATCTATCTCTCTATCTCTCTATCTATCTATCATCATCTAATGTATGAGTATTTTGCCTCTATCTATCTATCTATCTATCTATCTATCTATCTATCTATCTATCTATCTATCAT